ACCCCCAAGAATAAACCACACGACGCGCCCTTCGGAAAATACTCGAGGCGGAGAGATTTACAGTCAAGGAGTTGATTTATTTTTTATTTTTTTTTCCTTTTTCCCTGCCTGGAACGCGTCCGGAGAGGGAAAGCGACGTGCGGGGGGGGTTAATCACAGTGACGCAGATCCTGAGTTCGGCCGTGGAAGGGCATTTTCGGGGTCAATACGGCGTTTTAAAAGTCTTTAATCTCGCGCGGGGACAGACGGAGGGGTTTGTTTGAGGAAGGGCCGGCTCACTCGGGGAAAGCTTCTCGCTGCTGTTCCAGTCCGTCCCGAGTTGGCGGGGTGTCTCCTCTTCCTCAGGGGCTAAGCAAGGAGCTCCTCGTTCGTTAGCTTTTAATTGTGGCTAAACAGCTGCGGCGCGGGCTCCGGTATCTCCGGAGGTGGTAGCGTGGACGCTCCCGCCGGCGAGCAGCCGGCCGTCGGCTCCGCGGGGGCTCAGAGCTCCGTTTTCAGCTTCTCGTGCAAATCCTCCTGGTCGATCCTGTCGCTGTTCCCGTACCACCGGTGGTAAGCGAGCAGGGCGGCGTTTTTGGCCGCGATGGCGCTCATCTCCACGGCGCTCGCGGCCCGTTCGATGCCGTTCAGGTAGTAGATTTTGTCGTGGAGGATGACGGGAGGGCATTTTTCTGGGGGGCTGTAGCGGGGGTACGCCAACCACCTCTTCACTTTGACGGAGTCGTAGGAGGAGAAAAGCAAGCTGAGCTGCTCTTTGGTGAGCGCCTCCTTTGAAAACACCTTCCAGACGGCCGATGGCGAGGGCGGCTTTCCTTCGCCGCCTGCGTCTTCCACGGGAGACACCACCCCCAGGCTGTTGACGAAGAGTTTGGGATTCTCCGTGGTGAAGATGGCACCGAGGTGAAAGGCGGATGGGTCCCGGTAACCGAAGAAGGAGGCGTTTAATCGTCCGTGCACCAACGTCGTGACGGTCTGGTGGTAAGGATTCGGGAACTCCGGGACGGGAGGGTCGAAGTTCTTGAAGGTGATGTTGGCTATTTTGCGGCTCAGCGGAGCGGCGATGACGACGATGTCATACGTATCCGCCGTCAGTCCCGACGCAGTGTCGTAAGTGACCTGGTAGAGCTTCACCGGGTCCCCTGGGGAGAAGAGCGGGAGAAGAGCTCGGTTATCCCGCTCCGCGGCTGGAGGGAATCCCGTTTCTCCCTCCGGCAAACGTCAGGCTTTTAAAATGCCATCCCGGTTAGGCTAGTTATGCCTTGTTGCGAGCTGAAGCAGCTTTAGAAACTAGTCCCAGCTTAGCCGAGGGAGTGCTGAGACCCGGGGCTTTGAGCAGAGCCCGGTTTTCATTTTAAAAGACCGGGGAAGACCCAGGCTTGTCGCCTCGGCCCGCCGAGAGCTGCAGCCGAGCGGCGACGGAGACCGACGCTGGTCTCCAGCTGCCGGACCGTGCCGTTCCCCCTTCCCCACCGAAGGGAAAGCGAACCCAGCTCACCTGTGGGTCTGGGTCTGCTTTTCGGCTCTATAGACAAAACTGTGCCGGGGATAACGTCGGCTTTGGAGGCGTAGAGAAGGCCGGTGCAGACGAGTTTGTTCCCTCCTTTTACTGACCAAAGGCCCGATTCTACCCCCGCCAGAGAAACGGCACCTACAAGGAAACCACGATCATTGGAGCGGCTCGTTCGGCGTCATTCTGTAGGGGAGTATTTGAAACAAAGTGGAAAATTAGGGGGGGGGGGGAAACCCAAAACAAACCCCGTTGCTTTG